CCGGCCAGCCCCCGCCCCGCCGACGCAGAGGAGCTGCGCATGCGCCGTGGTTTGACAGCGCCTGGGGGGGCGGGGACTCCCCTTGCACAGCTGGGGCAGAGCCTTTGCTTGTAGATCCAGCGGCCGCGGTTCAAACCCGGGCGGTTTTCTCCCTTCGCTGCCCTTCGCCGCGCACGTGGGCGGGAGCGCTCCCGGGCCCTGGCCCCGCCCATGCTGCGATCCCAGCATGCCGCGCGCAGATTTGCATCTAACACTGTGCAGCGGCGTGCACGTTTTCAGAGATTTGCGGGGAAAGAACGAGCCAGCGGGGGGAGCCAAGTCCGGGGTTGCTCTCAGAGGGACCGGCCGCGTCTTGCTACGGGAAGGTTGGATACTCGCCCTCACCAGGAGAGAACTCGCTTCGCCTGTGGAGGCTGGGCCGCGCTGTGCGCGGGTTAAAAAGGGCTTCTGTCATGAGTGACACGTGGGGTGGGCTGGCTTCGGCTTGTCCTGCCCCGTGCGGAATCGACATCAAGAGATTTCGGAAGCACAATTTTTGTTCCTGGGGCTGTTGGTAATCGCTTGTTCCGGCGCCCCCATTTACCTGGTGCAAGAGCAGATCGCGTGTGGGCTCGGGCTCGGGCTCGACCTCCCTGCTGCGGGTCCGGGCAAGGCAGGTGGGAAGCCACATGGGTCTGCACCTTGTAGACTAGCTCGCGTTTCTGTATCAGAGATCATAGCTATGTCATATATAGGCTGGGGGGGGGATTTGGTAGCTGGGTAGGTCTGAGACAAAAGGAAATGCAAAACGCTAGAACTCTTGGTTCAGAAATGCTACCTTTTATTAGACCAACTAGGAAATTGCAAAAAAAAATAAATCTCTTTAAAATGTCCCCACTGCCTCATGAAGGTCCTTTGACCCTGAAAGCTTGAAAAAAATCAAGAAAACCACTCTCTCTCCAATCTCTGAGTCCTGATCCTCAAAGGAAACTTATAAAACACTTTCCAGAGAGGAGCCTATGAGCTCCATTTCATCAACCTCCCGGATACTAAAAATCATGGACTAAATATAGACATTGGATTTATGACACATTATAACCTGCCTGACAGCTGACTCCCTGGGTATCTCCCCACTATTCATCCCCCTTCTCTCTCTCCCCACTCCCCCCAGCCTGTGTCTCACCCATTGACTCCTCAACCTACATTTTCACCGACTACCTGTCTTGTATGCAGAGCAGCCCAGCCCCTGGCTTCTTCACTTTTCATTCCATCCAGGTAGAGCGCACACCGACTGCTGGAACTTCCTCAGCCTGACGAAGGGTTTTTGAACCCGAAAGCTTGCTTAATAATTGTTTTCCAGCTATTTAAGTTGGTCTAATAAAAGATATCCGATTCACCCAAAGAACCTTGTCTGTCAGTGAAACTTGGAAGATGCTGAATTTTAGCCAATTTTGGATTTTAAATTTCATTACAGAACAAGAAATAGTTTTAAACCTCCCTGTTTGCCATCGGACACCTCCAGGGAAGGAATCCTACTGATCTACACAACAAAGAGCAACTCTGAACGGCTCAGAGACACTCAGAGATACTCTCATGGACCCAGAGGGGTAGCTTTTTCATCTCCAGCTCCCTCTGTGAAAAAATGAAGTTTATTTCCTACCTATGGGGACTTTTTACCATCTTTAATTTTCCCAAAGCCTGATGAAGGGCCTTTGAGCCCAAAAGCTTGCAATGAAAGATATCAGATTCACACAAGGAACCTTGTCTGCCTATGTCCTTAGACCAACACGGCTACAACCTACACCCCTGCAGAAAAAGAGATTTTTTTCGCAATTTCCTGTTTGGTCTAATAAACGGTGTCATTTCTAAACCAAGAGTTCTAGATTTTTGCATTTCTTCATGTATAGGCCAGGTTCTTTGGCTAGATGTGATCTCTTTTATTAGACCAACAGTATAGTTGGAAAAAAAGTTCTTAGCAAGCTTTTGGGCACAACGACAAGCCTATGAACTTCACTTCATAAATCTACTGGATACAAAAAAATCATGGACTCAATATAGACATTGGATATATGACACATTACAACCTGCCTGACATCTGATTCACCAGGGACCTGCCAGACCTGACCTTTTACACATTTGCATTTCTCCCCCTTTCTCCCCTCCTTCTCTACCTTTTGTCTTCCTAATTTCCAGCTACTTACTTTTTCCACAGACTGCCTCTCTTCTACCTTGGAAAACTACTACAGTGGTCTCCCTTACTTACCTTTGGCTTTTCCCCCCCTTCATATTCCCCTCCCTTCCCTTCTCTACCCACTGTTTTCCTAATTTCCACCTATTTACATCCTCACTGACATCCTGTCACACTTCCAGCTCCTTTCATTCCTTGGAGATCTCAAACAGCAGACTCCCAATGCCTGGCGAAGGCTGACTGCACCCAAAAGCTTACTAAGAACTTTTTTCCAGCTACTCAGTTGGTCTAATAAAAGATATCACATCTGCTCAAAGAACTTGCCTGCCTATGTCCTTAGACCAACATGGCTATAACCAACAACCCAGTATACATTTTATCTACATTATATATATATATACACATATATATATTTAGATATAGAAATCATAGAGGAGTCAGGCTGGCAAGGATTTCCAGAGGTTATCTAGCCCAGCCCCTGCCTGAGCCAGGATCATCTCTATCCAAACCATCCTGTACACTCCATAATCCAACCCCTTAGGAAAGGTACCATCAACCTGGATGTAACACGAGCTTTCATGGGCTGAAGATCACCTCATCAGAGGCTATAACTATACATCTACTTGGGTTAATCTATAAAGTGCCTTTTATCCTGCCTTCTGTTTGACTTTAGACTAACTGCTAACTGTGTCTCTCAATGGAGTTTTGGGGGTGTATGTGTGTATAACACAAAACTACTTTGGTTAATCTATAAAATCTATAAAATATATAATCTATAAAATATATAATCTAATGCTCATGAACATACCTAACCATGCCTCTACCTTACAGACTAATTAATTCAGAAAGGCATAAGTTTTGGCCTACTTCCACAGCTTTTATGTATGTTCTATATACATTGGGCAAGGATTGGGGTTGGGGGGAGGGCTTTTATAGGACCAGCAGCCTAGCTGGCATAAAGGCAGACAAGTTTTCCAATGCAAGACCTGAGACCTGAAGAAGAATGCTTTTGCATTGGAAAGCTTGTCTAAACCTTTGCCCAACTACGCAATAAGTCCAATAAAATATATTACTTCCAAAAAATCCTTGACTCTCACATAATTCCTGAACCATCACAGCTACAGCATCACTCTAACACTACCATATACATTAGGGTTTGCTGAGATAAGGGAGATTTCCCACCCTAATAACTATATTTTCCCAAATCTTCAGAATTTAAGTGACATTATTCTGTTTCCTCTTCTGCTTGGTTGCAAATTCTCAGGGAGTGCATCTACATAAGATGCTTAATGCGCATTGGACTAATTCTACTGCACATTATTAGCATGGATGGCAAAATGTGCTAATGCACAGTAGATTTAGTCCAATGCGCATTGTCATGCAAAAAGCGTTCGTCTGCATTAATGCGCAGTAGTGCCGATTACGGCACATTAAGTTAGTACCTGTTATATTACAGGTACCAAACTATTACTGAATGTATAGACATGCCCAGTGATTCCTAGCCTTAGCAATCCTTCTTGCAATTTTTTTTTTAAACTGCTCTTTTCCTCTAAAAATTAATTACATTACAAGGAATATGCCTTGCTGCCAAAATATGAAAAGAATCATTCTCCCTGCTTTTTCTTACCCAGGAAATATATTTAACCCCTATTATTTCACCTGCTTTAAAACATCACTCCCAAGGCCCTGGTATGTACAGTTTTCTCTGTTTTTTGTGGTTTGAATTATTCTTTGCTCTTTGCAATAAGAGGACTCCTTCTTCCTGTTAGATTTGAACTGAGGCATTATTTGTACTTAAAAATTAAAATGCATACAAAGGGGTTAACCAATTTGTTAGCCAATGTCCTGCTTTCTGTGCATTGGGTTTTTTTCAACCTAGGGCTTTCTCCTAGCAGCATGCAGTTACTGTTGGTTTCCATGTTTTCAGTTAAGCTCCTCCTAGATCTTTCCTCCCACTTAAAACATTGCTATGAATGATCATTTGAATCCAAGAGGAAAAGGAAGACTGGTGAAGGGAAAGGGACAGTTATTGCTGCCTTCAAGAGCTGTGATCACTCTTAGTTTTATGGTTGGGGCTGGCTTGGTTATTATACTGAAGGGCTCTGTGTAATGTATGTACTACTAACAGCAGGCCAAATGTAGACTGTGTGCACGTGTGCTCATGTGCAAATGTGAACACATGCTTAGCCCAGTGGACTGAGTTTCATCACAGGTAGACGGAGAACTTGGATCTTGTAAAGACTTGTGTCTTTTAAGCACATCTTTTGCAAACATGAAACCTTTTCAGTGTTAAATTGTGCTACTTGCAAATAGGCAAGGACAAGTGTTAGTGGATGATGCTGAGGGACTCCACGAAGAGGGGAGAAGTGGCCCAGGAAACCTTTTCTCCTCTAACTGCTTATCCTGGAGAGTGATGGCAGAGGCGCATCCCAATATACTGATAGCTGTAGGTGGGACCCCTTGGGGGGGAAGTCATCTTTGTCAGGCCCACACCTCCTGAAACCCAGCATGTTTTGTACCCAAAAAGGAGAAGCTACTGCATGCCAGGCTGCTGACTTCCACCCTTTCAGCCTCCCAGTTGAGGTCCATGTGACCTAGAGGTCAGAGCAAAGGACTGTGAATTGGGCTTGTGGGTTCTTGGAAAACAGCATGCTGCAGAGGAATAGTGAGAAAGGAGACAGGAGTAGCTGAGTCCCTTGTGTTCTGAACAAACTTGCTATTCTGCGGCATACCCCAGTTTCCTCCCATGTAAGGTAGCTGCAAGGATTCATGGCTTTTTCCCAATAGTGGTGTGAGGACTTATAATGACTGGTCCAATAGTGCCTAGAACCTGTGACATGCAATGTAAATCCAACAGATTAGTCCCCTCTGAGCCCCATGCCTTGAGCATGGAAAGATCACTCATTTGTTAGTCAAACCATACAGCAAAGAAAGAGGCACTTCTCTTTCTGGAAACCTGTCCTGGGTGCAACACATTGCTGGGGATGAGAACTCTGCAAAAGGAAAATACATTGTCTGGCTCACCCATTGCAACCAGACCCTCCACTGGCACAAAGCAGCACACCAAAAAGCAAAGTTGATGTACAGCAGACAAGGGTCCAGCCCATTTGGCTTCAAGGCCCCTGGGCCAGGTGCTTAAGTAAATGTAGTTTTTATTTGGAACTGGCTGACTGCCCTTTGGGAAAATGCAGGTACTTTGATATACAAATCCCCAAGCAATCCTAGTGCATGAGAAGCCCTCCAGAATAACATCACTGATGGGCTGTCAGTTCAAAAGAGTGGCAGAGTTGTAATGCTGTTAACCTTTTCATGCTCTTAAGTGAAAAAACAGGCTATTGTACCCGCACAATATCTCCCATGAGACTCAAAAGGACCAATGCTATTCGGGAGATTTCATGTTGCATCCTACATAGGGAAGCTGCTGTACTAAGCCATGGCACTTGGAGCCCTTACCAAATCCCACCACAGGCAAGGATAATCTTTCCACTAATTCTAATGGGAGATGGATCAGAGACTTGCTGGCCGCATCTACACAAGGCACTGACTGCACAGTTCTCACTGCGCGGTCATTTAATACTTGCATACACAGTAGCATCCCCGAATGACTTTTTTAGCGACACTGACTGCACAGTAGCTCGTTACTACTGTGCAGTAGAGTTGCATCATGCTTCATGCCATGCGATGCTAGTGCTCAATACTAACAAGCTACTGCATAGTCCGCATCTTGTGTAGACGTGGCCAGCATCCATCCACAATAGCCTATTTCTTCAGAGTCAAGAGCATGAAGGGCTTAACACTGCAAGGACGATTGCTGGGAGGTTGGTCATGGGGTCACAAGAGGGATCTTAGGCCCCTGTAGTAGATTGTGATAAAGTGGCTCAGGCGACGTGTACACTAAAACCTTATCCTGCTCCGGAGCAGAATCCTCAAGCTGGACCAGATGCAGGACAGCCACGTCCGTGGTGCTTGGAATGGCTAATGAACACTACTGAGTGATCAGGCCACTTATTCCACCCCAAGGTACCATGCGCACAAGGTGTGTGTACACACACACACACACACACACGGACTTGACCTTTCCCTTGCCTTGCATGTGCCTGAAGTGTTCTTGCTGAGTGCCATGCTGGATGGGTCTGTGGTGAAACACAACTGAGCCCCATGCCCAGCTTTCTGAATCTGCTGGCTGAGTGTTAACACAACCCCATGGTGGGCTGAGAGTTGCCTCCAAAGGAACGGGTTTTGTTTCCTCTGCTCTGCATTGCTGCCAGCATACATGTGTGGCTGGGGCGGAGGTGGTCTGAATGAGTGGGAGCATTCATATGGAAAGACCATGCAGAGATCTGTATGGAGCGTGTGTGTATCACTGCAGGGGCATATGTGCATGGCTTTGATGATGAGCGCACTCAACACAGGTGTGATCCATTCCCCAGAAGCACATTGTGAGACAGCCCACGGTGGAGTCTGAGGTTTCCCTCCCCACTTACTGGACTGAGCAGCCAGCGAGGCTCCTGGGCCGCAGTTCATTCTGTGGGAACAGCCAGGGAGGATCGATGCTGACAATGAAATGGAGTTAATGCAGCCAACTTCCTGGGAGCAGACGCTGGAATTTGGGCCCAGACACTCTGCCAACCTCAGAAGCTGTTAATACCACTACTGGTTTCAATGAGTACGGCTGCCTCAGTGCAGCATTAGGAATGGGCTCATGCTCTGGCGTGTGAACGTGACTCCGTTGCTTTTAGCATAGGAAGTAGGCCACAGCTACTTCAACTGGAAGTGGTATAGCTGCATTCACGCAGAAGCAGGCTGCACCCCTGCAAGACAGATGCAGTAGAGTAGATCCTGCCTGGTGCTGCGGGAATGTTTGGGACAAAAATCTCTTTTTCAGGGTGTCTTTGGGGACATCGGGGCACAGCCCCCAAATTCAGGCTGGTTGGTTGCTTTTGCATGGCTTCTGCTCTTGCATGTTTGCCATTAGACAAACGGCTATTAAGCAAATTTCCCTTGTGGGACATATGCTGTCCCTTTTAAGTACCACAGGGATGAGGCCAGGCTGGTACATGGGTCAGAACTGAGTACCATGCTCGCTGCGGTTTTGTCCCTTCCCCCAGATCCAGGATGGAGTTTTGACTGCAGTATCTCAGCCTTGTGATAATGACAGGGAGACAGGCAGAGGTTAGAGGATTGATCACACAGAACAGCTGCAAGTCTGTAACTCACCTTCATATGCAATGCTCCAAGCTATCACCTTTGCAAGGCTTTTTCCTCCACCACTAGGAACGTTGCCCTATTGATCAATAATGAAGCTAAAGTGCCCCTTAGGAGTACACAAGGGCAATTCTCTTAATCCTAACTCCTCTAACACAGGATCACTGTTTGCCAGAGTACTTTTACTTCCTTAAAAACCAATGAGATTACTCAAGGCAAGACACGATATAAATATTTGCTGGATTGGGCCCTGGGATGGGGAGATCCACTGGAGAAAGAATAGAGTTTGTTGGGTTTTTGACATATTTTATGTGCCCCATATTCCCTGACATATTTCTGTGCTGTTTCCATTTGATATTTAAAGAAAAGCAGCCACTATTTCAGCTCCCCTGTACACACGTATGCATGCATGCACACACACACACACGCGCGCATGGGAAAGAGAAAGATTCAGCAACTGAAACTAACTAGAAACAAAAAGTGAAACCAATTTAACAAGTTCTACCATGAATTAGAGTTAAAAAATAAGTCCACACTGAACAGTCTCGGGTTTGTGAAGTTCCAGTTTCAGTAAGTGGGAGGGAGGCATTAGTGAGCTGGTGGGGCAGCAGGGGGCGCCCCTTCCCTCTGGGTAGTGCCCATGGCACAGCGCTGGTTATGAAGACAACACTAGTGCCAGCAGTGTATGCAAAGGAAATATGCATGTGTATGTGTACGTGTGTATATAGATATATATTTAATATGATTGTTTTTTCTCTTGACACCATCCTTTCAAGACCTACTTGGAAGGGGAAGATCATCTGAGGCATCTATTATGTTAGAGGCAGAAAACAACCCAAACAAAACAAAACGGTCACAGAGTTAGAGCGGCTTCGTGCAGTTCAGTGCCACCGTGTAGCTCTCACGGCTACTGAAATTCCCTTTGCTGGTGATGGGTTGGGCCAGGTCCTTTTGCTCCAAGGATCCTGCGTAGACCCGGTGCTGCTTTCCCAGTGCAGCCAGACCCCCTTTCCCAAGCTACCTGGCGTGTCCCACGCGAGTCCCCTCTCTGCAGCCTTACAGCGGCTCATGGTAGACGTGTGTGAGGGGGGAGTCTCTGAGCTGAAAGCAGTGACCCTCTGGGGAGGCATGGGGTGCAGTGGGGAGGTCTCCCCCCGGGCTGGGAGTCCGTCCAGGCTGGGGTTCTGTGTACACGACACTGGCCTTGTGGGGGTCTGCTGTCACATCCGTCAGCGTCTCACCGGGCCGCTGAGTGGGAGAGTCGTACTGGGAAGGGATACTTGAGGTCGCTGGCAAGGTGAGGGTCCCCACCCAGCCTTGGGTGTTGGGGACCACTTTGATGACACAGGCGTTCTTCCTGGCAGCAGGGCCCCCAGCCTCAGCCCCCTGCTCCATGAAGGGTGTGGCGTACTCAGGCTCCGGTGGCAGGGGCTCTGCGTACTCGTGGTACTTCCCCGGCACGTCGTAGTGGTTCATCACCAGTGGGAGCGTGTAGCCTTCATCAAGAGCGGGTTTGAAGGTGGACGGGGCTGTCTGGCTGCTGGGGCTGACCTGGACCACATCGGGCTCAGCATATTCTGCAAAGGAAGAGCAGCACAGGCTTGAAGAGGTGCAAGGCTCTGAGGTGGATGGCCCTATGCAGCTGGCAGAGACTGGCCAGACTGAGCTATGAAGGGCCTGCTAGCTGCCCTGGCTTTGCCCCTATCCAGATGCTTGCTGGTCCAGAGAAGAGGCAGCTCGTTGGCCCTACCAGGCATCCATCAAGCTGAGAGCTGGCTCAGCTGGTGCAGGCGAGGCCTCAACACTCAGCCACTGCATTCAGTCAGTCAGAGTCCCAGTCCCCTGCCCTCCTTCTGTCTGGCTGCCCACTTTGTAGGGACAGCGCTGCCATCAGCTGCACCAGCACCCAGATGTTGGCTGCTGGACTTGGGCCTGTTCCCTTCCCCCGCTCTGAGCTTGAGGCTTTTGTTTGCTCCTCGGGGAGGGAAGTCAATGGGCCAAGTGTTTCAGCCCGGCTGTGCTGGGTGGTAATTAATGGGCACTCTCACTCCTTCTTTAGCTATGCTGCACAACCGGCAGCCGCAGCCCTGAACAAAGTGCCGGACAAACCAGACCTGCCAGTGGGAATTAACCCTCTGTGCCTCTTGCCCAGAGACCAGATGAGTGATTATGGGGAGGAGATCAGCTGGGATTGGACAAAGGGCTGGAAAACCTACGGAGCAGGAGCGGGGGGACCACACACATCCGCACTAATGTACACACACAGGAGGAGCAGGCATGCACATACACAAGCCCAGAGATGCACTGTCCTGGCTTCTTGGTTCCCCTGCCAGACAAGGCCAGCGGGTGCAGAGGCAAGGGTCCCCGGCTCTCCATGCCTCAGGCAGAGCAGCCTCTGACACAGGAGGGAGGGAGGCCTGGTGGAGGGACCCTTGGTTCTGGTCTGCTGCTGGGGCCCTTGGTAGCTGGCACAAGTTAGGGCTGCTGTGAGCTGCACCGGGAAGCTGGCAGGATTGCCAGCTGCCACAGGATGGGGAAGGGAGAAAGCTGCTCTTGCCTGACCCCAGCATTTAGAGGGCTGCAGTGCAGGCCTGAACTAGGACAGAGAAAGGGGCTGGGTTCATAAACCCCCACCCCTGTCACCCAATATAGGGGTGCCTAGAAACTCACACACTCTAGCCCTGCCTCAGAGGGAAGTTTTGCCCCCTCAGCTGCCAGAGAAGCTCCCCTGGTGCAACTCCATTATCTGCAGCTGATCTCAATGCCCTCTGACCCCTGGTCAAGGTGCACTGGCACCTGCTAAGCCTCTCTGCAGGAGGAGAGAGCACCAATCCAGCTACTCTGAGTGCCAGCCCTGCCTTGCCAGTCTGGGCTTGAAGCATTCTTGGACTATCATGGCCCCCTCTCCAGGGCCAGAAGATTTCAGCCTCATTCCTGCCAACCCGTTAGTTCATCTCCTCTTTGGGTAGATAGCCCTGCCCGCCTTGTGCCCCTGCCCACAGCTGGCAGGTGCAGCTCTGCATTCTCCATAGACTCCTGTTCTCTCTGCTGGCAGGAGGAAAAAGAGTTGAAGATCATAGACCTAGTCCTTGCTGGTGCATGTGTGTGGATAGTAGACTGCGTGGCTTGCATATATGCAGGTTTAGCCTGGGTAGGAGACTGGGAGTTGGGACTTGTGCATTCTGTTCCTGCTTCTGGGAACCTGGGATCCATTTCCAGTACTGCCACTGACTCAGTATGTGACTTTGGAAAATCACATTGCCTCTCTGGGCCTCCGTCTTCCCACCTGTACAATAGGGCTAATGATGCAGACCCACATACAGGAAGATGCAAAAAAAGACCAGCTGTTGGCCCATAAGTATAAAGAGTTGCTGTGTCAAAGGTTAAGGGAAGGGGGTTCCCTTGGAAATCTCAGTGCATCTGGCTTGTCGTGTCTAGACTGATGCTGTCTGGAGGGGGAGCTCTGGTAGATGGGGTGGTGGCCTACTGAGGAAGCTCAGCTGCTTGAGCTCTATGAAGCCAGAGCAGGCCCTGACCTGCAGATGGGGTAAGGGGAGGGCAGGGAAGTAGTACCAGCCCTCTGATTAAACACCCAGCTTCTCAGTTACCTGGTGAAGGAGCCCTGGTGAGGTCCCCTGGGGTCCCAGCCATTGGGAATGAAGTCAGCTCCGAGCTGGATGGCTGCAGGCTCCCCAGGGAACACACTTGGCTGCACTCTGATTTTGGGTACCCTACGGAGAGAAGCACCTTAGGCATGAGCTGCATATGGGTCCAGAAGAAGGGTGGGCCAGTGCTCAGGGCATTAGCCTAGGACTTGGGAGGCTTGGGTTTACCTCCCTGCCCTGCCACCCGCTTCCTGTGTGCCCCTGACCAATTCACTTAGTCTCTCTCTGCCTCAGTTTCCCCTCTGTACTATGGGGATTATGGCACTGCATCACCTCACAGGGTTGTTACCAAAATAAGTGCATTAAAGACTGAGGTGTTCAGATCCTGGGGGGTCTGAACAGTTCCTGGGGGGTGGGTGGGGGACATTACAGGTATCTCATATGGAGAGAAAGCCCTACAACTGCAATGCTCATCAGGACCCTGGTGGCTCCATAAAAGGAGACTGCTTCTGAACACGAGCCCAATGTAGGGTCATGTACTCTAGCAGCAGAGAGAGTGAAATTACCCCTGCGCAGGAGACCAGCACAAGACCCAGGCCTCAACTGCACCCAGGGGATTCCCACTCCCATCGAGAAGCAGCCTGGCCGAGGACTTGAACTGGCTCTGCTTTTGCTGACACCCCTGCTCAGCAGCCTGCCAGCCGGCAATGATAACTCATTACTCTGGTAACATCATAATAACCCACGCCTGGTGCCCGACCCTCCCAGGTGCTTTGGGAAGTCCCAAGCAGGCTGTTTGCCACCTGACTAACCTCCCAGTGGGTTATTTCACGCTGGGACTAAGGCTGCACGTACCTGTCATCAGGCCGCAGTTCAGATCTGCTGTTGTCTTCCTGCCAGAAAAAGAGAAGGGAAACAAGGTAATTGGACAGCTGCTCTGTATCATCTCAGCATGGAGGGGCTGGACCGTCTGGGTGCCACAGGAAACCACCACATGTTCCCAGTCATTAATCACAGCTCAGAGCAGCCCATTCACCCTGAACCAGGCCCAGGTAGAAACTGGCTTTGAACGAACTTTGCCCTGCAAACTAACACCAAGCTTTGTGACAGCCACAGCTTCCCAGGCACTGCCCCTGGGCATCTTGAGGGCACCTGGGAGCACACAGGTGAATTCACAGCTGCTCAAGCGGTGCCCAAAAATCACAGGGTGATCACAGGCCCAGGGAGCCAAGAGTTCCAGCTGTACAGAGCTCTGGTGCCATATTCCTGATCACTTGCTGCAGAGAGAGAGTGCCCTGGAAGGCTGAATCTTGTCGCTCCGTTTCTGCAAACTCATGGAACGCAGTAACTGGATCCCAGTTCGCTGGAACTGGCCTGCACGCAACAGTCCTAAGTATTGCTCTCTGCCACGTGAGACAAAGACAGTTTTCCTCCAGGTGCCCCAGTAGCTGATCTGCTTTCTCCTTGACCTGCAGTGAATGGTCAAGGGCTTCTGTGGGGAGCTGTGAAGGATGCAGAGGGAAGATTGCCTTTGAACATCCTTGGGAATGTTGTTGTTGCTATTGGGAAGGAGGGACGTGAGAGTCTGATGGCATGGAAACAAATGCAACAGCATGGTGTAGGGCTCACAGCAGGGCACTGAGAGCCAGGACACCTGCTGGTTTCTGTCCCAGACTGTGTTATGGATGTCTACAGTGTGGGGTACCTCACTCTGCCTTTCTGAGCATCACTTGCCCCTCTATGAAGTGGGGAGAATAATCTAGGTTGTACAGGTTCAGTTGCTTGCTCAAGGTCGGGGTGGGGCAGGTGATTTTCTTCTCAGTGGGACGAGTCCCAGAGGCTGAAGGTGCTGCAGCCGGGTCACCAGTGGGAAATGCCTGTGCACCTTGGCTGCTGGGTGGCCTGGTTTGAGAACACAGGTCCCAGGTGCAACTGTGCTCAGATACTATTACCTCAGGTGAAGTCCCAGGAAAGCAGCTGTTGCATCCCTGAGCTTTGCAAAATCCAGACCCCACCTCCTTGTGCAGACATGACCCTCAGAGGCATGTCCTGTGGGGATTGCCTAGTGCTGGAACAGCCCTGCTCTGTGCTGACCCATGGCCTGCATGCTCAGCCCTGGCTTCTGTCACCAGCAGCTTCTATTTCAGGATGACCTCTGTCCCTGGTACCCATAGAGCAGGGGCAGGCAATTATTTTGGGTGGAGGGCCGCTTACTAAGTTTTGGCAAGCCATCGAGGGCCGCATGACAGGCAGCCAGGGGCAGATAAGTATTAATTTTCTAAATTTTTTAGGGGCCCTGTGGGCTGGATAGAATGGCCTGGTGGGCCGCATTTTGCCCCCCCCTGCCATAGAGGCTGGTTACAAGGGACAGTACCTGACTGCCCTGGGGAAAGGGCTCACTCACTGACTGATAGGGAGGAGGCAGGGAGCATGGGAAAGGAGGAAAAAGGCAGCAGGGCAGAGGCTAGGAAAAATGCCACTTACCTTTTTTTGCGGCACAGAAAAGCCAGCAGCAAGAGGCTGGAGGAAAGCAGCACAAACCCCCCGATAAGCAGCATTACCAGTAACAAGGAGCCTGGGGAAGGAAGCAAGAGGTGAGCAAAGAGCTCTGCATTCAGGGCAAAGGGCTACATCATGCCTGCTCCTTGCAGAGCACACACAAGGCATAGGCTTCACTCCACCACTGCAGACACATGGGGCGCTTATACACAAGCTGCGAGGCTGCTCCGTCGCGCTGTAATTACAGTGTGTCAGAGCAGACATGATTAATTAAGTCTGCTGGAGCATGGTAATTACCGCACGCCAGCAGACATCAGCATGCTTACGCTTAAAAATGGCAGCAGGGGCCCTTTAATTAAAGCTCATTTGATGAGCTTTAGTTAAAGCGCCCCCACCACCATTTTTAGAGCAGGGATGCTGATACACAAGACACTCTGGGTGCTTAATTAGAATGGCTCTGCACACCCTCCTGGAGCACATGTATTAACACCCACAGAGCTTGGCTGGAGCCCCATTACAGCTACAGGTTCCCCCAGCTGGGAGTGGGGGCATGGATCCCTGCTTATTACCAAGAAAATATGAAGCCAGATTCTGCTCTTGCACCCACTCAGCACCAGTGCAACCTCACTGCCTTCAGGAGTAGCTCTGAGTTTACAACAGTGTCATGATACTGGCTTCACTGGGATGACTCCTGATGTCACCCAATTTGGGAGTTTTGGTGGGGGACAAGGAGGAATAACCAACCCCCATGGCAAAATATTCCAGGAACCGTGTCACATTAGCAAGAATTGCTTGAGCTCCTCCTTCACACTCTCCTTAGGATGGCCATCATAGAGGACAGTCTGGTTGTCCTCTGTCCTCTACTGATATGAAACCCAATGCCTTTATGTCCTCTATTTTTCTCTTGAAAGGGAAAAATAAAGGACATAAAGGTGTCGGGTTTTGTATCAATAGAGGACAGAGTACAGAGTAGCAGAAAACCAGAATGTCCTGTATGATGGCCACCCTACTCTCCTTTCTATTACAACGCACATCTTAGGTAACAGACTCCCGGTTGACCTTTTTCTGCTGCCCCTTGCAATTAATAAGAAGATGCTTGCCATGTAATTAAGTAAACTCAAGGGGACAAATTCTAGCTGAAGAGGATTGGAACAGAAGGGATAAGTCTTCCTGACCTGTCCAGAGAGGAAGGGAGCTGGGGCAGGGGGAGGAGGGCAACCTGTGATCTCAACTGAGCCATTGTAAATGCAGCATGACTCCACTGAAGCCCCAGCCTTGCTCCAGTGACACCAGTATTAGGGCCTGAGTCTCTTCTGAAAGGGACAAAACTGCAAAAGTGATGCCCTGGACAGGAATTGCACCCTTTGCTGTGGTCAGATTTCTCCTAACTCTTCTCAGTTTATTCCTTTCCCTTCCACACGATGCAAATACTGCTTCCCCTTAGCCCAGCCTGGTAGGCGCTCAGAGGAAGCTGCCTTCTGGAGCAAGGCTGGGGCTTGCAGCTGTCCCTTGTGTGACTGATCCTGCTTTCAGTGATACTGGTAGAACAGAAGTGATTTTATAGAAGTCAAGGAGTGCCCTGGATCTTTAATGTGCTGCCTGAGCTCTGGTTTATTAGGAAGGGATTTTCAAAGGCCCAGGTGGGATTTGGTTGCCAAAGTCCCAGTGGGAGCTGGAAGCCCTGCTGCCCCTTGAAAACCTCTTCCTTTCCCCCTTATTATGCCCACATTGTTGATGGGGGAAACTGAGTACAGAAGTTGAAAGTCTGCTTTAATGAAAAAAATAGGTGTGCACATACATGAAATCATCTGTGCATCATGGAACGGCTATGGGAGTCTGCACACCACTAGCCAATGACAGAGCCCTAGCCACCTGGGCTTACCAGGACAGGATCTGGCATGTGAATGTTGGTGTATGAGTCACACTAAATATCTCCTCCAGGTCACACTGAGAGAGTAGCTGAGCTGAGATGGCTAATGGTGTCTCTTCTGCCACCCCCAGCTCAGACCACTAGATCACTCTGCTCCTCTCCCTGTAAACACTCTGTGCTGCACGTACCTGCCTTCTCCGGGTTCATGGCAACTCCAGGGATCGGGGTGTAATTCACAGGGACACTGGTCAGGACGGGCACCTCTTTCGGGGCATTGTGCACTGCAAAGAATGAATGGTCAGCTCCTCACCTTAGGCCTGCGACCTGCATCAACCTGCTCCATCCTGCCACCTAGCACACCAGAGAGCTGCTGAGCACACAGCCCTGTGTGGGAGCTGGTAGGGGTGTTGTGCCCTCACTCTCCAGTCTGATCTAAGTGTGGCTGATGGTCTCTCATGGGGAGATTTCCCAAGGGGAGCCTGGTCTTTCCAAGGCTGACCCCTTGCTGATGGTCCCAGCACTTGGCTTTGTGGAAACAGGTTACAGGTCCAGAAAAAGAGTTCAGGCCTTGCCGTAGACTTGGGCTAAAAGCTGCCCCAGGTGATCCTAGCTGTCAATAGGTCGCTGTTCGTTCAGGCTAGGGAGTGAATAGCAGCTGGACAGTGAATGATAGTGGCTGCAACCTTCCCTGTTGGCTGTGCAAATGGGTGAACCTTAAATGAGGTGGCCCAATGGGCTGCTAGGCTTGGGAGAGCTTTGGACTTCAATTGTATCTCCCAGGTGTAACGCAGCCATCTCTGGGTGCCAACCTAACTTGTGCAGAGAAACTCTGGGGAGCTGGCTGGGGACATGGACTCTTCGGTCAGGCTGTGCATCCCCCAGCTGGACTCCAGACTCACCATAGGGCCGAAGGGCCCGTACTCGTGCCATCTGACATCCCAGCAGTGCCACCTTCAAGGCTATCCTCTGGTTCCAGCTCTCAGGCATGATGCGTACATAGCGAGCCAGGATTGGGGGGATGAACGTGTTGGAGACTTCTTGGTGGCTGTTGGCATTTCCCTCAAAGACCTGGGATGAGACAGGACAACAAAGGGATCAACAGGACAGAGCCCCAGCAAGCATCTAACACAGACATCCTCAAACACCCACTCTCCCTTGGCATGGGAGAGACTGGGCATGGGTCAGTCTGACCAGTCATATCAGGGTCTCTTTTGGTGTCTGTAGAGCCCCAGAAAATTCACACCGGAGCAACGAGAGCAAAGCTCATCCCACAAGCTGGTCTCATCTCTAGCCAGGAGAGATCTCTTCTCCACTCTCCCCTCTCCCCCACAACCAGGCTCCTTTGGCCCTTCACATCATCTCTCACCACTGGTGCAAACAGCTTCTCTTCTGCAGCTCCCACCATCTAGAAAAACCTCCCAGGGCAACAGCTCTCTGCCTCCCTTCAGATCTCAGCTGGAAAAGCCCCCTTTCTCTCTTTCAGTGCCAGTAACTGTTATTTAAGTATATTTGGGGATACACAAAGGGTAGGAAGAGAAGTGGCTGGAAGGAAAAGGTCCCAGATCCTTATGCTCCAAGGTGTATTTCTTACTCTTACATACACACACAGAATGGGAAGAGGTCCAGGGGTTTTCTTCTCTTAAAAGAGGGTGGAGAGAACTTTGCTCGGGATCAGACCTTTTGTGCACTCAGACAGACAGATTTTCTTGACAACACACACAGCACTTTGTATCTTTTTTCAAGTCCTGTTTTTGTTGTCTTTTCAATGTTAAGTTGATGGGCTGCAATGGGACTAACTGAACGGGGAGACAGCGTGTTAGATGGCTGGAGCACAGGGGTTTGTAGAACCAGGATTCCTGGGTTCTGTTCTCAGCTCTAATAACAACCTATTGAGGGGCTACAGGCAAATCACTTAATCTCCTTGTACCTCAGCTTCCCCATCTGTAAAATAGGGATAATACTGTGAGGATCTGGCCAGTGTCTGTCTCCACTATTGCCTTCCAATGGATGGAACCAGGGCTAAGTGTCGTAGTTCCTGTACCTCTAACAAGCAAAGGGAATTCTCCTTAAGCTCTGCAGGTACTGGCATGTGATTTCTGGAGCAGGAAGCTCTGGTGCTGTTCTTTCAGTCACTTTGAAATGCCAGTGGGCTGTGATATGCAGCATTTTGACAACCAGGAAGTCCCTATGAGCATCTTTACATGCGCTCTGGGGTTGTGGGGGGAATGTTTTAATTAGAGCAGCTCTTGGGTACCACTCTAATTAAAGTGCCCACAGTGTCTTGTGTATTCAGCATCCCGCGCTTCAAAATGGTAGCGGGGATACTTTAACTAAAGCTTGTTTGATGAGCTTTAGTTAAAGCACCCCCACTGCCATTTTGAAGTGCGGGGATGCTGAATACATGTGATGCCGAGGCTTCTGGAGCGTGCTCATTAGCACGCTCCAGCAGACATCAGGCACGTGTGTAAATCCCCTATGTGACTACAACTTGTTATGATACTACCCTGAGTGTAGGGATGCTTCATTTATGTTTGCTCATCATGTGAGAGCTATAGCAAGGGAAGGTATCTCTAAGAGGCAGATGCTGATTGAGGTCATCTCAGTGTAAATCTGGAATAACTCTGTTTCCACTAGTATCATTTCAAGCTTGCAGCAGAGTAAATAAGGCCAGAATCCGTCCCTACGCACGTACGTTGATATCGAGATTCTGTGGAGAAATAACCCAGCCTCAGCCTCTGTATCAACCAGCCAGGGGGCAGTTTCTTTAATTCCTATCACGCTCTCTGTTCCTTCTCCACTGTCCAGCCACTGCCGTCAGTGCAGACAATCTCACCTTGTCCTCCTGCCCACTGGCCGATCTGTAGGCTTTCCAATTCTTTCCATCTCTGCTGGACAAAACCCGGTAGGATTTCACATAGTAGTCGTATGTATCAGTGGATCCCTTGGTTATAATTCCTGTAAATAGGCACAGTCAGATCGTGGCATGGACAGTCGTTAGGGTTCTTGGTATGAAGGAGACTACTGGCATTCAAGGGGCTGAAATGGCTTCTGGGTTCAGCTTTGGGAAACAGAGATACGGGCCTCATGTCTGGTCTGATCAGACTGCACTGAAGCCAAAGGAACTAAACAGGAGCTGGGGTCAGGCAAGTGGTTAAGAACAGAGCAATATCTCCTTTTAACAGAGCAATACCCCTCATCCTTAGCAGTGGAGCAATGGTGAGTGGTAAGGTAGTGGTTGGTACAAGAGTCAGGACTCCTGGGTTCTTTTCTGGGAAGAAGCATGAATAGGTGACTGGGAGATGGGAATTTCAGCCAATCACATATGATTTTGGACACCCCCCCCCCCGCCCCGGTGTCTGTGCCTCAGTTTCCACATCTGTAAAATGGGCACAATGGCACTGCCTCAAGGATGGGGCTGATGCTTTGAGATCCCCTGAAGAGAGATCCCCTCATGCAGGGCAAAGTCATTACTAAGTTCCTCTCTCCCTCCAGGCATCTGCTGCTAGGAATTTAAGACAAGCCTGACATCATCGTGTCTTTTGCCACCTCATGCTACGAGCTGTGGAGACACAGGCCCTGGAAAAGCTTTGAGACCAACAGGTTTAAATTTTTAACCCCTCTAGAAGCCAAGTCCCTTCTCTCTGCCCAGCTCTGCCCAGGATGATGATCAGATAAGCCCCAAACCCTGCTCCCCGCCTGCATTCCACTCAGCCTCCAGCCGACTGCCTCACAATGCCTCCATTTTCCTCTTTCCAATTAACAAGCACATTCTGGGCCCGCCAGACAAAAGCCCCAATTTTTGTCAGGGCTCTCAAAACAAAAGCCGTTTGCTGGCAGCTGATGCAAGAGCATAATATTAACTTGTTCAGCTGGAGATGGTCCTACCCTGAGATAGCAGGGGGAGAGGGGCACAGGGGAAGAGAACAGAGCCAGGGATAGAAAAAAGCAAGAGAGAAAAGAATGAGAGAGAAGAGAAAGATCAAAAAACAAAGAGAGAGATAGAGAGAGAAGAAAAGGATGGAGTGAAAGGGAGAGCTGGAGAAATGAATTCTGTGGGCCCTGACACCTTGCATGCAAACTGGCTGGCGTCACAAGCAGGGCAGGAGGGGAAGGATAGGAAACAGAAAAGTCAACCTGGGGCAGATCATGCTCTTAGTTACATTGGTACAAATCTGGATTAGTTCCATTGACTCCAGTGTAGTTTCTTTTCCAGGATGACTACTGGCTTCAAAGGAGTTAGAGCCAATTTTGTGCAAGCTCCCTTCTTGCTCTGCTTCTGTACAGCACCTAGCACAGTGGAGTCCTGTTCATCACGGTGCTCCCAGGCATGACAGCAAAACAGATAGTAAGTAATGTTTTACATCGGTGAGAGATCAGAATTGGCTCTGCTGCCTTCCCCCACTTTTCCTATGCTGCTCTGCATCTAAGTTCATTTAAGCAGGGAATTCTTCTCTGAAAAATGCCTGTACTCTGGAAACCGGGGACTGCCCAGGCACCAGGATAGAGGGCCCCCCAAATCCACCACCAGGGATATCTCCATTAAGGAGGTTGGGATCTGTTGGGACCATTGGAAGCAGAAGGAACATCCCACTGTGTGTGTACTGGGGAAGGCCTGTGGCTGTTGAGATGCACCCATTTCAGCAGAGCTCCTCCTAATATACCCTGGCATAAATGGGGTCAGAATAAGACCTACAGTGGCTAGATTCTGCCTTCAGTCACACTAGAGTAAATCTGGAATGACCCTCACTGAGAGTTATGGAGAAGTCCCTCAACCGAAGATCTGCCTCCTCCACAATGTGGACAATGGGGGTAGGGTAATCATTTTTACCCCTGCTGAGAAGTTGGCCCTGCACCCTCTGCTTCAGCCCTGGAGGAAGAGAAAGATTCTGATACTTACTGACCTGTGATGTTCTTCCTTCCCCCCAGGTCTATCTCGAGCCACTGTGTGTCTGCGCTGGGATCAGCAGCCCAGGAGTACCCACTGGTGCTGAGAGCCGCCCGCTCGGCCGTCCAGAGCTTGTACTGCCCCATGGCGGTCACCTCATGCCAGGAAGAGGAGGCGTTGAAGCCAGCTGCTTCCAGGGCATCATCACAAGCTGGAAATGGAAGGGCAGAACATGAAAGTCTCCCCAGGAGGCCAGTGCCAACACAAGCTGCCTTTCCTCCTTGTCCTGGGTGGGCCCCAGGGCAGCAGTGGGGAGCAGGGGCCAGTGGCTTAGCTCCACGTGCTGGAAGGGAGTGTGGCGAGGCTTAATGAGAAATGTCTGTCTTTGGCAGGGCATCAGGTTGGGGGAAGCCTCAGCAAAAGGTTGGCCAGTCTGTTTAACTCAGCATTCACTGCTGAGGAAGCTGCCTACTACCTCTTGCTAACTCCTCTCCCGCCCTGCTTCCCTCCTCCGCCTCCGCGCTGACAGCTAGCTCAAGCACTGGTTATGGGAAGGGAAGGGCTCTGTTCCCAGGCTGTGGGCCCAGAGACACAGTTCTTCCAACAGGGAGATTCCTTTATCCCAAATGAGAGGGTCAAGCTGTTCACCAGGCTTCAGCAGGCAAAGGTCACTGTGAGAAAAGGATACTGAGGCTGCAAAATGTGCAACCTCCCCACGTACATTCTGGCCTGATTACTGCTTACGTCACTTTGAACCCCTGGGCCAAGTGCTCAGCAGGTGTAAATTGGCATGGATCCAAAACCTACAACAGCGAAACGCTGATTCACATCAGTAGCTAAGACCTGATTTACACCCAGGCCCAGAGATCTGCTCTTGTTCCTCGCAAAGCAGATGGGGCAGGGGAGTTGGGCTTATCTGAGGACAAAGGGAGACTGGCGTACCTTTGTGAAAAACGAGGCGCTTTTCAGACAGGGATCCCCTATTTGAAGAAAAACAGATGAAAGTTATAAAAAAGGGAGGAAAGACGCTGGTCTCACAGTGGAGTCAAGCAGACATCCCCCTGCTGACAGGAGCGGAGCCACCCCTCTCCAGCCCCGGGTTTTGTATAACACTAACCCCTACAGTCCCTGAAGCTCTTCCAGATTTGTCTCAGGGCAACTAAGGGCAGAAAGGGACAGAGGGGCTAAGGTCTTCTCACACACTGATGCCATCAATGTCAGCGGCTTTCCTCCTGATTTACACCAGTGGGAGTGAGAGGAGAGCCAGGCGATGTGCCAGAGGGAGAGACAAACCCAAAGCAACATGTTTTCCTTCCTGTAACACCACTGCAAGTCAATCTGACCTAAGCGATATAAGCTACGGGTGGCCAGCCACACACAGCATGAAGGAGCACAGCTCCTCACTTCCATGGAACTGCATCCACGCTTTGCAAATGCCCTTCCCACACCCCAGCCCCGGTCCCAGTCCCAGTCCCAGCTTTCCTGACCCTTGGTCAGTGATGAACCCTGGCTCCTACAAACAAGACCAGACCCCATTGAACTAGTGCAGAAAAAGCAAACAGCTCCTTGCTCCACTAGGCTCAGTTCTGTGCTCCGCATCTGATGAGATGCAGCTTGGCCCTGTTCACACCAGTGCCTGACTGGGCTCAGGCAGGGTTGCTGGGGAGAAGAGGCTGTCTCGATGCTGCTGACATATCCCAGAGCAAGTCTCTGTCTGGACAAAGCAGCAGCTAGATTCACTGGACCACTTCAATATGAACTGGCTTTAGTGACTGGTTATGAAAAGCAGCACTCCTGTGCTTTTATATTCATCTGAAAAGCTTTACACTCATTCAGGAGCAGATGAAGCCTCACATGCCCTCCAGGCCCATAAATTAAATTAGTATCACTATGCCCATTTCAAAGATGGGAAAAGAGCAGCACAGAGACATCCACTGCCTTGCTTATGCTCAAGGTCACACTGCAGGTTAGTGGCTGAGGTGACAACAGGCTCAGAGTCTTCCAGGGCCCCAGGCACTGGACACTTCAAAGAAAGTGTGGGCCAAGTTCTGCAGGCAGTGCTTACCTAAACCTGCTAGAGCCTTTAGCCTGAGTAAGAGCTGTAAGCTTTGGTCCCCTCCTTTTTGATCTGCATTTTGCCCCCCAGAAACAGTGGGCCAGATCCTCCCTCAGCATTAATCAGCCTGGTTCCATTGGATTAATTTATGCCAGCTATAGATTTATCTTTGGAGGACAAACTGGTCCAACTCTGGCTGCTCACTGACTCATCAAAGATGCTAGCTACTCACCTCTTGGAGTGGAGTCCATTGGCAAAGGCTGATTCATAGAGAGTGATCCCTTTCTGCCGTGATAGAGTGACCTGCCCTCCCAGCTCATCCAGGATCACTCCAGCATGGACAGCTGCTTTGCAGAGAACTGAGGTCTGGCGGGAACAGGGAAGCAGTGAATAGAAGGGAGGAAGCGAAAAAAATCCCCAGTAAAAGAACTCAGCCCCATCCATCCTGAATGGGACAATTCCCCAGAAGAGAGAGGGCCAGATCTCTGGTCACATGGGTGTAAGTCCAGGGCAGTGCTATTTATTTCAGTGACTATTACTATCTAATGACCAGTTCTGATCTTACACCAGTATGAACTGGGAGTAACTTCATGGAAGAGAGATTGGTATCAGGCCCTTTCTCAGGCAAATTTAGTTCTGGTTTCAAGACCACCAGGATGACAGCCCTGGACCTTGGAGGTCTCCATGTAACCACTGATCAGACAGAGCAAGAGGCTTCTCTACACTACCTGCCAACCTGCTGGGGCTGGAGGAACTCATGGAATTCACCTTCCAGGACCCACTGAGCCCTGCCCTCTGCCGAGACACCCGTAAGCAGTGGGTTTGTACAGCCATGCTGGCACTGTGGCATGGATGCCTCTCCATCCAGAAAAGGGCTCTTCAACACCCATGCCACACCAAATCATCTCAAGTCAGTGATGGCTGCAGCACTGAAGTTGGTACTCACATCTCGGTAGCCCTGGTTGGTGTTGCCCCAGATATCACCAGCTATTCCCTTGCAGCCTGCAGGGCAGTAAACACTGAAATACATGACAAATGATTAGTGCCTGAATCAAGGTCTTGCTCCTTGGGACTCAGGGCCTTACTTTCCATCCTATTACTTCCTTGTAGCTATCTCAGACATCAGTGACCCACAACCCTGCTAGCTGCAGCTTCCTCTGTCCCCAGAACAGATATGGCTGTGCAAGGTCCTCTGAGATATTCAGTTTCCATGGCCCATGAGGCTCTGAGGCTACCAGAAAGGGTGAACTGTGTGATGTGCATTGAGGATCTAGTAGATTTATTTACATGTCAAAGAGTGCCCCTCCCATGGTAATGGGAAGAGCCTGCAAACTATCTCCCATTAAAACCGGTCCAGACCTTTACATGCATTTTCACTGGCTCTCTCTGTCCCTGCTGTATTCATACTGTGCAGGCATTCTACCAGTCAAGTTCTCTGGCAGGGAAGGGCCTCAGCCTGGGGAATTTTAACCACATCCCGTAGAGCGTTCACAGGAAGAGAACTGTCAATTTATAATGCAACTATTCCCACCAGAAACCTCCATTCGGGCACATTTGGATGTGACCCATGAGTCCAATCAAAATGAGCTTGGATTCTAAATATCAGATACAACGACGGAGCAACAGGTAGAGAATTGTTGGCGGATAGCAGATGGAAGATCCTCTTCACTGGATTTTTTTCAAGAAGAAGCTTCTTTTTGGGAGAATATAGGAATAGTGCGTGCTACATTCATGCAGGGGGTTGGACTACATGACCCCTGAGGTTCCTTTCAGCCCTACAGTTATGATAAATATGGGGGACATCACTGACCAGCTGTTGGGCAAATCTGTACCTAGGAAAGGAGGAAATATTTGTCAGATAAATTATTCACCCATGTAGTGAATCAGCTGGTGGGTGGCTAATAAGCATTAATAACCCTCAATTATTGCATCTTTCATTGGATGAGCTCATAGTGTTGTACAGTGATTAATTAAGCTTCACAATTCCCCTGAGGGAGAGGCATAACCCCTACTTGACTGGGTTGAGGGGAGTGAAATGAGGAAAGGGCAGTTGTGGGATGGGGACGTGACTTGCCAAAAGCCTTTAGTCAGTGGCAGAATTTGGTTCAGAATCCAGGAACTCTGTTTCTACCGTCCTGTCTGCATTAAGGAAATGCACTGTCTATTGTCCCAGGCTCTCCAGATTTCCTCTTCCCCAGTGTTATTGTGCTGATCAGAGAGTCAGCAGAGTCACCTTCCAACTGGATTGGATCCACAATAGCTCATTTTGAGAAAAAAACATCTTTCCCTAGAAACCCACTCACCTGATCTGTTGTTGGCTGTAATGGGTGCCCTTATCCAAACAGGAAATCAGATCTAGAAGATAGACAGAGAAGTTAGTGGGTCAGTGAACTCAGCCCAAGCCCACAGGGATCTCCTTGACCCCTGGCAGGCTCCTCTGCTGTTTGTTATAGTGACAATATGGCAAGACAGGCCTTGAATCTGAATCTTCACAGAGCAGCTTCACATAAACACTGTCACATTAAGTGCATCAAGTCTCTCCTGATTTACATCCAGGGTCATTTGGTACAGGTCCTAGCACAGGGGTAGTAAACCCCCCCACTTGTTATTACTATAACCCCCCCCCTGTCTCAGAGCTGTCCAACAGCAGTGTACAACCCAGACAGCTCATGTCATGCCCAGGGAGCAATGCCATATTACATGGTAATTGTAACACCCCCAGACATTTGCCAAGGGCCACTGTAACTTCTCATTGACTTCTAATCGAGTGGCCTTGACTCTGGTTAGCTTAGGCTGATGGCCATCTACCTGCTTGGGCTGCAGGCTCCTTGGGGCAGGGACCATCTGTTTGTTCAGTACCTAGTGTAGTGGAGGCCAGGTGCATGGCTGAGGCTTTGAGATGCTACTATGACACAGATGATTCTGGATGTGGCCCTCACCCAACAAATAGTTTATCCTCTCTCACATAGTTTGGTCTTATCCTCTCAACACTCCTGGAAGGTCTGGAAATAGCTCGATGGAATAGCGGTCCAGAGATATTAAGTGATCTGACCAAGGTCACTTCAAGCAAGGTCTAGAGTTGAACCCAGCTGTTCTGAATCCCAGGTTTCTGCCTTAACCACAAAGCCACCCTTTCCAGCAGCCCAAGGTCAGGAGTGGATGGAGGCTTTGGAAGCTGATGTGGGATAGGTTCTTAGGCCCACATCCTATCTGAGTCACAGTTGCCTTTTTAGTGTTGGGAGGGAATTTATCCCCATGGGTTCACCCTGTCCTAACAACACAGGAGATTTTCATTTGAAAATATGTGGGAACTGGGAGAAAAAGACAAGCCATAAAGCTTCCATGAGGGGCTCCACTCTCCAACCTTTCCCCAGCTTTCAGACTTGTCCTGGATAGGCCAGCATGCTCCCAGCCCCTGCTCTGGTGGGTACCTTCCAGATGCCTGCATTAATAACCATTCATCTACCCCATCATCCTGCAAGTTAGACACCTCTTCTAAAGTGACTTTTTCTTTCCAGCGTTGTTTTATTCGATGACCCAAGGATTTAAATAAAAGGTTAATAGTGCCTCCCATATTCTTGTCAGGTGAGTATCACGATCCCTGCATTACAGAATGGGAAGCAGCCTGCTTCCAGGGAAGACATCAGGACACCCAAGTTGTTGTTATTCTCCTCTTAGAAAGGAAGTTACACACTGAAGCCCAGTGTCTTTGGATTCCCGGCAGTGTAGCCCCCGCCACCCTCTCTCCCAGTCTTCCAGAAACCACAGAGGACTGAAGAAAAAGACGGTGACTCATGAATGTTTGTGGTGTAAACTCAGCAAACAATGTGTGAGCCCTTCTCTTGAAAAATCAGGAGCCTAATTTTCACATAGGCAGCTACTCCTGGCAGCTTAATGTGGCTCTTAAAGGGAACTTGTACCCACTTTAAGGCTCTTTATATTGCCAGAATGGAGCACAAAGGCAGCAGTGCAGAGGGAAGCAGGCACTCTGTACAAACATGCTCCCACAGAAAACTCATGATGGCATTGCAAGGGATAGAGGATTCACCAGCCCAGGTGTGGGACAGCTGTAGTACTCCTGAGTGACCAAGGCATGGATCATGCATATCATCCCAAAGGAGAGCTCCTCAAATCTCCCTACCATACCTAACAGGATTCTGCACAGGCCACCTGTGCCACAACAAAGGTCTTAGCCATGCTGTTTAATTGGCCACTGCCAGCCTCTGGTTATCTGATCACATGGCACTAGCTTCCTCACCTCCAGCTGCTCAATGCACTTCAACAACAGAGACATTCAATATGTTCCTAAAGTTGCTTTGCCATGGAATCAACTGGTCAGGCTGACAATGCCATAAAGGTGTGATGTGGTCCCCAGTGGGAACGGAGTTGTCCAGTATGTTTTGAATGGCAAGGGAGGTGCTTTTCACAACAGGACAGGACAACATCCTGGAGACAATCATTCTCTTTAAATATAGGGCAAGAAGCCAAGAATCCCCTGCTGTGCAGATCACCCAAGGCAGCATGACTGCGAGCATTCAAAAGGACTGTTTGAATCCTTGGCCATCCTGGGAAAGGTGTTCTGGGTCTTTTAGGTGTAGGAAAATCCATATTTGGAAAGAGAAGGAGGACATTTTTTATGGAAGGTTGGCAATTTTTTCCCCCATGGCAGCTGTTTGAATGTGCCACATCACAGCAAGAGCGACTGTTGGGATTTCCACGTGTCAAGCAGTATAAGGTGGCCAAAAGTGACTGATAAATGCAAATATTAACCTTATGTATCTATGCTCACATCCCCATATGCAGGGGTGTCCACATGATAAACTGCATTTGGCACATAGCTTTGCTGAAATGTTGCTTACTCAGCTCCTGCAATGTGTTGGAAAATTCCAGCCCCCCAAGCACTTATCAGATTCCAGTTTTTTTAAACTACAGATATCTTTCCCCCTCTCCACAACTATGGCATCCTCCCCCACACCCGTCCCCTCCCATCCCGCAGTGCAAAATTACATCTGTCTATGGGCCAGGATGGACTAGTCCAGTCCTGAACCAGGCTTAGGAGCTCATATCTTGGGACTTTGCAATGTGGAACTGGAAGCTGAATACCACTGAAAAGGGTGTTTTCCACACCTTCGATAAGTTCCCAGTATTCCCTCCCAGATACAGGCTATCTTGTGGTATCACGCTTTAAAACTGTCACATTATTGCATATGGAGAAGCAAATTTTAATTATTTTCAGGGGTCTATTGATTTTAATTGTGCTCTCCCTGTGACCCCTGCATGGATGAAGACTAAGACACCTGGCTTTGATGGTGAAATGATATATCAAGTGTTGCCAATGTAAGACTGAAAACTCTTTAAATAAAATCCCTAAAATAGATTTGTTCCATGTATGGCAGGTTCAGAACTTGTGATACTATGAGGCCAATTAAGGAGTTAATTGGCATAGATTTAGGGTGATCAGTGCTGCTTCATCCCAGCTTCAGCAGACTTGTCTGGCTCAAATGCAGGCCAAGAAACCTTCTGCAGTAGCCCAAAGCTGATGTAAGGAGGCCTTAAGTGTCTGGGCCACATAGACAGTGTACTGATTTGTCCTTTAGCTCACTTAAGAGAAAGTTTATGCTCATAGTGCAAAGAGATGCCGGGTTCAAATCCTGCTGTCAGCCTCAGCAGGGCAGCATCAATATCACAAATCCCTGATATGGGGCAGCATCACTGGTGGACCTCAGAGTCCTTTGTCCCCTAGAGAGAGGACTAGAGAAGATAACCACCGTGATGGGTTCTCTTGGGCTGCCCATCCCAGCTTTCCCTGGAGTTCTCACAAGACTATGCTGGGGACAATGAACCTCCTGCATGGACTCCAGACATCCTGGCTGCATTTCCCTGGCATGGCCTTCTGGAGCCATTTGGAGTGAGTGAGGAGGATTTGTGTTGAGCAACCAGTGTCCCATTACTGACAGCCCCCTTCCCCCATCTCAGAATAGCGGGATGTCCCCTACCTGGGTGCTGGCTGGTGGCATAGGAGAGCAGGAAGCCACGCCCTGAGCGGTGAGTGGTGCTGTTGAATAGGATGGTCAGCGAGGTGGAGTTTGTCACCAGAACCTTTGGCATCAGCCTTGAATTCCTGCAGTATGGACCTGCCGAGGGAGAAGAAACATCTGATATCTGCAGGGAAATCCACGGAAACCCTGAGGACAGGATATTCTTCATCTTCTGGGGCAAAGGGTTTTGCTTGCATTAGTTTGGGCCTGATTAACTAGAGTTGCTGCCAACTGTGGCCCCATGCCTGTGATGGTCTGCTCCTTTGTGTGCCTAGTCTATCTGCTCATCACCAACCTGAGCAAGCCACAGCCACAGCCGCCACATGCACCTGCAGCTTGGGACCTGAGGCTTGGGTAGAACAGGACTGATCAGAACCTGCCACCATTTTGCACAAGGTAAGACAGAGACCAGAGCAAGAGAAAGGAGCCAAGGAACCTGGGTTAGAGAAAGGCTTGGGAAAAGTTAAAAGCAGAGAGGTGGGAGCTGTGCAGAGCTCTACAGGCCAGGAGAACATTTTGGACAGGACAGAGATGTTTGGGAGGCAGAGGAGGGTGAGGAAGAGGGAAGGGATGTGGTCCAGGCTGGAGGTGAAGGAGACTGGTAGTAAGACTGGAGGAGAGTGAGAGAAGAAGGGTGTGGGGTAGAAGAGGTACAGGCAAGGGAGAGGTCAAAAAAGGGTAGCAAAGGGAGGAATTGTAGAGGGGTTCCCAAGCAATGACCAGTCTTCTGGCATGTCAGCTCAGAGTTTGGCAAAGCACCTGGTGGAGGCCAGAGCTGGTGTTGCTGCAACTTTGCAGTGGGCTCCTGAAATCAAAATCACCCCAGTTGCTCCCATCCACCCATGACTTAGAATTCAGCCTCGCTTCCACCAAAACCTAGAGCCAATGTCCTGCTGAGCAGGATTAAGCCCTCACAGAAAGACCAAACAAGAGTTCATTCTAGCTGAGGTGATGCTTAGGAGAGCATTAGCCCCGTGGGAAGCTGCCTGGGCTCAAAGTGCTCGGTTGCTCCTTGCAGGGGGGGCGGGGAGCGAGAGAGAGGGTGGCAGTGGGAGAGGAGAGGCTGCCTGCAGAGAACTCGTCTGCAGCATCATCTCCGACTAATGCACCCTGAAGAGATGGCCCACATGGCCAGACTCCTTTTGCAGTAATGAATCTGTTTCCTTCCCCTGAACCTCATGCTGGCTCAGTGAACAGAGTTGCTCTGCAGGGTGAGCTGAGGTCCAGCACATGCATCTCTGCTGTGGAGGGTTTTCAGAGCATTTGGTGCAGTCCTTCATCCTCCAAACCAGACTGAAAACAGGGCTCTTGGGGGCAGGCTAAGCCCCCATCAGCCTCTGGAAGGGGTCTTACACCCCTGAAGAGCTGGTGTCAGCCATGAGTCCAGGAGAATGCACCAGACGCATCCTCTTTAGTCTGGTGGTTCCAGTCTCACTGGTATCACCCAATAGACCAGAGGGATGCTGTAGGTTACACATGAGCACACCCGTATAGCAGCACATTTAAACTGAAGGCTCATTCACACCAACCCAGAGCCAAAGAAGCAGGATTATCTAGTTGGAGCTTGGGAGGTTTTAGGTGGCACTGGTGTTCAGGAATCACTTTGTCCACCACTGAATTGCAGTCTCCTCTGAAGCAGATCCGGGGAGCTGCTGAACAGTGCACAGGTGCTCTGAACAATTTAGGATGGGAGTTGATGAATCTGGGGGTGGGTTCTGGTCCCCAGCATCCTGCAGGGGTTGTAGGAGATGCTTGGGCATGGAAGTGCAGGGGCCAAAGAAAATGCTTGGGCACTGGAGGGAAGATATAATTGAACCTACATGGTGGCTGTCCTCAGTGAGGACAGTGGGAGAGGAGGGGAAGGCTGGGAGTATTTAGTGTGTTTAGTCCTAGAGCTCAGGCTCTGATCTGTTGATTTGAAAATTAGGCCCTTTATGGAGATCAGGTTTTGAGGGAACTGCCCGTTAGAAATGAGGGAGCCCTTCACAGCTCTTATTTCAGGCTAAGACAACTTGTCCCACTTGGAAGCTCTTCACAATCAAAAGGGCTAGAGACTCAGGGCCAAAACCTCTACTGGTGTCAGTCAGATGCACAGAACTAGCCCAAAGGACACTAGCTGAGGCCTGCCCTTGTTGTTTTAGCGAAATATTAAACTCTGGCAGAATCTGAGCCAAATCAATCATGCAAAGCCCAACTCTGTATCACTGGCCCTGGACTAAACAGAAGCTACCCCATATGTCTTGCTATTGATCTTTCTGAAAGATCCACATCTCAGAGCTGGTGCCTCCGCCTTCAGTATCAGGCGGGGCAATGCCACCAGGTGGACAATGCTTGCAATCTCCAGTGTGTGCATGTGCTTCAGACCAGGCCAGATCCTCAGCCCATTTGACCAGGAGAAGTGCAGATTCCAGGGGGGCTCTTCAAACAGCTTGGCGCCTGCTTGCTCCCAGAGCCAGCAAAATATCCACTCTCCTCCAGTTGTTCTGGTATGCAAGGCAGAGGCAATACAATTCAACTCCCACAGGGTTCCCAGAATAGCTTCTAATAAGGGCCTCTTAATTACATCATGTCTGTGGATCGGGTGACAGGCAATCCTAACTAACAGCTCTTATCAGGCTCCTACTTGCTGGATCAGCGATCCCACCTCCCCCTGCCTCCCTTCCCTGGGCTGGCCCCAGTGTAAAGTACTCTGTCAATGGAAAGAAAGTCCAGCTCACTAAGACAGATCAACAGATCAATATTGATTCATCTGACACCACTGGAAGATGGCAGCTGGTGAAGGGGTCATCAGTTCCAGGCCCCCTCCTTTCCTCTTTACATAAATCAAAGGACCAAGTCCATAAATCCTCCAAGCTTTGAACCATTTAATCCCAATGAATCTGTAATATCTACCTCCCTGATTAAAACTGCAGCTTAACTAGGAAACAGACACAGAGAAGTGCCTGATGATGATTTCCCTCTGGCTTGTAGCAAGGTCAGTCCACAGCCCGTCTCCATCCCCACAGTCCATCCCCCTTCTGCTGACTGGCTTCGCAGAGAGGCCAAACGGGATATTCTGCTTCACTTCATTTGGGTTCTTATGTCACACCCATCACCATGGCATCTGGGCCCCTTTCAGAAATGTAGTGACCCATGGTGCCCTGATGAACAACTGAAGCCCACAGCTAGCTCTTCAGCCTATCCTTCCCCTGTGTGAACTGAAGGCTTTGGTCCCCGGTACTGTCAATCCATCCATTGCCAACAGCTCTACCCTGGTCAGAAGCAGAAATCAGGAGTAGCTCTGCCGAACCCACCTCTGATTCTGATCTCACCCAGCCTTTACACTAGTGTTACTCCGTTTCTTTCACTCCTGATTCACTGCTGTCCAGGGAGAGTGGAGTCGAGCCCCTGGTTTGTTTAGAGACTGGATTTCCTCCAAAGTCCTGCCCACGCTAATGCACGGGCGGGAGCCTTTGATGACTGTACTTGACTCTGCCTGCCAGGCTCCTTTCCTTTCAGGAGTTTCCGAAATGCTGACTGGGCGTAAAAGTTTTTAAAGTGACACTACAAGGATAAAAGTCCTAGGGCCAGATCTTGAGGCTGGGCAAAGTGCATTGGTTCTGAGGGGTCTGAGGGGGAGGGCCATTCATTCACCTCTCCCCGATTCTGCAAGCTGTGGGGGCCAAACTGACCCCAGGACAAATTAGAACAGCCTAAGAGCTGCTGTAATTCACACTGCTTAACAAATATTCCCGGTCTCCCTCTTTCTCTATTGCTGGATGACTGACGCCATCCATCCCTCATGCACCATGATATGTCCCATACTTTCTCGAGGCTATTTTGGAACACCCCCATGCCAGCTGGGGCATCAGGTGCTGCTTTAAGTCTCCCTCACACTCCAGGACTAATGGCAAAGCCCCATCCCTTGCACTTGAATTCAGCATCCTCACTTCTGTCATGAACAATAGCTTCAGCATACAGAACAAAGAGTTGAAATACCTGGGGTCAGACTTGAGCTGGTGCAAAGTGGTGTAACTCCACTGACTTCAGCTGAGGTGCTTTACACTAGCTGAAGATTGGGCCCATAGTTTGAAGGAAAGGCCAGGCAGGTTCTGGGAGAAAGCAGGGAGTCTGAGCCCATCTAAGAGGACTGGGAAATGATGAAAGGGAATAAAGCTGATGGGCACCTCTCAGGGACTGGAGATGAGGAAGGTCCCAAACCTGAGATGTTATGATTTTAAAATGAGGGAGCACAGGCCCAAGAAGGATGAATTCACACTGAATATATGGCCAGAGAGGGTTTAACATTAGAAAGAAGCTGTGAAGTCCAGCTCAGAATCTGTTCTGATTCAGACCCATTGCCACTGACAGGAACTGTGCAGAAGTGGCTTTACTGTGCCTCGGTTTCCCCACCTGTGAAAGAAAGCAACTTACCCTGTGCCACTTCAGTGATGCGAGGTGTAGCTGGTGTTTACAGTGTGCCTGGAGCGCCACCAAGAATGCTAAGGGCTGTTATTCCTGTTATTCTCAGTGTGCATAGCTCTCTGGGTTGCTGGCACTGACTTTTCTGTGTCTGGGTAATTTTTAACTACAGTCACATATCTCTGCTGCTGAAAGACTGGAGTCCAGGGGAAGCATAAGAAGTTGGGCCAAAATAGCTGCCGCTTTCTCTGTAGCATGGTTGGTTGGTCTCAGCTGTATCTCCTCTCACTCCTTCTCCTTGTGTGTATACCACTTCAGTGATACTTGACAGCGGTTCCAATAAATGGCTGGAGAAATTCCCTGATATGCGCTGTTTGGGCACCTGACCAAATGCTGGCCATACACGGCTGGACAGAGAACCCTTTAACAGGGAACATCACGTTCCTCCAATGCTGTAAGCAGAGCACTGACGCTTCCTATACAGGGACCGAGATGTCATTGAGAATGACCAGAGGGGACAACTGGTGTCAAGGGAAGAGTGCCAAGACTCCTGGGTCCAATTTTGGTCTCTGCCACTGATTCAGTACAGGACCTCTGGGTTTCAGTTTTCCCCTCTGTGAAAGGGAGAAAACATTTCCCTTCCCCCCAGCCTTTCCAGAACTTACAGTTTTCCAAAAGAGCTTAACAAACCTCCT